TTCTCCGACTATTTCTATGATATTGTCCATAAGACATACAAAGATGGGGAAAAACTTTGTTTACAGAGAAAAATAATAAAGCTCAAATCTATGTCTAGCTCTCATATGCCCAACCTCTTCTTTTCGTGAAGAGAAATGCTAATTTATACACCTTTGAGGTCAATGTAATGAGTGCTTTTGCAAGTTGCTTTCACACATAGAGAGTTCTTATTCGTCCTTATCTTAAAATGAGATAGGGTTGATATAAAATATCTTTGAGGTGGTATGGGCTTGACAGCTAGTACACTTTGTCTTTTAGGCACTTGTTGAGCTGACATCAACGTGAATTTTTTAGGCATAACAGAACCCCCCCAGTTTTTGGAGTGCGTAATCGCGTTTCAAAAACTCATGTCTTAGATCTAAATGGCTGTCGCACTATAGGCTGTAGTCTCGAACTGAAGAGCTCGAACTATGCATGGTGTGATTAGGTGCTGAGAGCTAAGATTGCGATCTGAGAGCTTGAAGCAACCCAAAGTTGAGCACAATCTTATAACTGACATGAAATATCCAGTAGATGAATTCCCAGAGGGAGCTAACATGAGAAGCTCAAACGCACGGCTTAGAGGCCTTAAACGGAGAAGCCAACTTAAAATAGTCATAACTTTTGATCCGGGAGGAGTTTTGGAGTGCGTAAGATATCAACAGAAAGCTCGTTCCGAGCTATACATTGTGGTAACTAGGGGACATAGTTGAGACCATTTTCAGGGCCAAAATCCACCGTTTCAGCATGTATTGGGGCTGTTTTGAGTTTTCTACGCTTTTTTTCTAACGTTGGTAGTTAGTCGCAACCCGAGAACGGAGAACTGATCGCGGTTTGAGAGTTGAGAACATGACCTAAGGCGATTCGCAATCTCAGAGCTAAGAGTTGATTGCGATTGAAAGCTAGGAGTTGATCGCGATCTGATAGGGGCTCGACTTGAGAGTTTGAGGCGTGTGATCTGAACGATCTGATGCACGCGATTTAAAATGAGCGAGCTTATAAGCCCAATCAGAGAGCATAAGGAGCTCGATATGAGATCATAAGGAGCTCGATCTGAGACCATAAGGAGCTCGATCTGAGACCATAAAGGGCTCGATCTAAGATCATAAGGAGCTCTATCTAAGAGCATAAGGAGCTTGATCTGAGAACTTGAGAGCTTTTTACGATCTGAAAGCTTGAGAGCTCTTTGTGATCTAAGAGTTTAAGGAGTTCAATCAGAAAACAGAAGGAGTTCGATCAGAAAGCACGAAACTTGATTTGAGAACAAGAAGTTCGATTAGAAGGCGCGGAGCTTAATCTGTGAACAGAAGGAGTTCGATTAGAAAGCACAAAACTTAATCTGAGAACAAGAAGTTCGATCAGAAAGCGCAAAGCTTAATTTGAGAACAAGAAGTTCGATTAGAAAGTGCGAAGCTTGATATGAGAACAGAAGAAATTCAATCAGCAAGCGTAGAGCTTGATTTGAGAACTCGAGATCAGCGATCTAAGCACGATCTAAATTATCTGAACGCGTGATCTCAACGATCTTAAATACGCGATTTAGATGATCTAAGATGCAATCTGTGATCTGGCCATGCGATCTGGACGATCTGAACACGTGATCTCAAAGATCTTGAACGCGCGGTTCGGATGAGCGTGCGATCTGGCCACACGATCTGTGCGATCTGAACGCGTGATCTCAACGATCTTGAACGTGCGATCATGATGATTTGAGCGTGCGATCTACGATATAGCCACACGATCTGGATGATCTGAGCGTGCGATTTGCTATTTGACCACGCGATTGGAGAGCTCTGATGCATGCGATATGTGATCTGACCACACGATCCGAGAGCTTTGATGCGTGCGATCTGCGATTTGGCCATCCGATCTGAAGCTGAAGATCAGAGTGATCAGAGCGTGCGATCTGACCACGTGATTGAAAAGCTTTGATGCGTGCGATCTGCAATCTGGCCACGCGATCTGAAAGCTCTAATGCGTGCGATCTACGATCTGACCACGCCATGGAGATCTCTGATGCGTGTGATCTGCGATCTGACCATGCGATTTGAGAACTCTGATGCGTGCGATCTGCGATCTGACCACGTGATTCGAGAGTTCTGATGCGTGAGATTTGCGATCTGACCATGCCATCTAAGAATTCTGATACGTGTGATCTACGATTTGACCACATAATTCGAGAACTCTGATGCTGTGATCCACGATCTGACCACGCCATCTGAGAACTCTGATGCATGTGATATACGATCTGACCACGCCATCAGAGAGCTCTGATGTGTGCGATATACGATCTGGCCACGCGATCCGAGAACTCTGATGCATGTGATCTGCGATTTGGTCACATGATCCAAGAGCTATGATGTGTGCGATCTACGATCTGACCACGTCATCTGAGAACTCTGATGCGTGCAATCTGGCCACGCAATCCGAGAGCTTTGATGCGTGTTATATGCGATCTGGCCACGCGATTTGAAAGCTCTGATGCGTGCGATATACGATATGCCATCGGAGAACTCTGATGCATGCGATCTACGATCTGACCAGGCGATCTGAGAACTTTGATGCATGCGATCTGCGATCTGGCCAAGCGATCAAAGAGCTCTGATGCGTGCGATCTGCGATTTGGCCACGCGATCGAGAGCTCTGATGCGTGCGATCTGCGATCTGACCACGCGATCCGAGAACTATGATGCGTGCGATCTGGCCACACGATCTGAAGCTGAAGATTAGAACGATCTGAGCGTGCGATCTGCGATTTAACCACGCCATCTGAGAGCTTGGACGCAGGTTGGAGACTTGCATGAGCCACCAAACTGTTGATGCTTGATTTTGACACCAATGACTCGCACGTGCAAAGTGCTAAGAGAGTCTTAGAAATTACACGTGATGGATTCATGAGATTTGAATATGGTGCTGAGATTATATACGTTTGCAAAAAACATAAATAAAAGATTGGCAAAAGAGGTGTTTAAAATGGTTCAGATACTTAAAGCGAATCCTACATCCACTGTTATTTTGCTATTATCTGACTATTTCTATGATATTGCCCGTAAGATATACAAAGATGGGGAAAAACTTTGTTTACAGAGAAAAATAATAAAGCTCAAATCTATGCCTAATTCTCATATGTCTAGCATCTTCTTTTTGTGAAGAGAAGTGTCAATTTATACATATTTGAGGTCAATGTAATGAGTGCTTTTGCAAGTTGCATTGACACATGGAGAGCTCTCATTCATCCTTATCTTAAAATGAGATAAGGTTAGTATAAAATATCTCTGAGACGATATGGGCTTGACAGTTAATACATTTTGTCTTTTAGGCACTTGTTGAGCTGACATCAACCTGACTTTTACATTAGCAACTCCACAGCAGACAAGTTAGAAGGCGAAGGAAGTCAATCCTTCTTCATGAATTGGTTAATCCTCAACTTCTCACTCAATTGTTTCGCATGACTAAACACACATAATGCATATTTATCTTCATGATTTAAAGATACTGCACTATTGGTTGAATGCAGGTTTTTGGACCCAATTACATATGGAAAATATCCAGTAGAGATGAGGGAACTATATTACCCGAGTTTTCAAGCAAAGATAAAGAGAAATTGAAGATGGGACTGGACTTTATAGGAATCAATCACTACACCAGTTACTATATCCGAGACTGTATCTCTTCTGTATGCGAACCTGGATGGGAAGCTACCAAGACAGAAGGATTTTGCGGACGAAGTAACCAAAGAAATGGTGTCCCCATAGGAGAATCCGTATGCAATCTAAATTCATCACAATCATACTGACTTCACATTCATAAAGCAGTTGCTGAAACCTTTTTGCTTTGCAGACCTCATTGGAGTGGCTAAATGTATACCCACCGGGAATGGAGAAGGTTATAAACTACGTGAAAGAGAGATACAATAACATACCCATGTTCATTACAGAAAATGGTAAGTAGCTATCTACTGAGCTGTCAAGGCACAAACTTGCTACTTATCCTTGCCCTTGCATACCTTCATTTTCTTTGCAGGATACGGCGAGATAAATACTCCAAATTCCACCACTGAAGAATATCTCCATGATGTCAAAAGGGTCGAACATATGACTTGCTACTTAGATGCACTGTTGACAGCAATGAGGTAAGGATGTGCTGGATTAGAATTTTTAAACAATCAAATCAAAATGGCATTGATCTTTATCAAAAAGCTCCCAAGACTTCACAATCTTTCTATGTTAATGAATATTTCCTTGGCCAATGTCTCTCCCTATTTTAACAGAAATGGAGCAGATGTCAGGGGATACTTTGCTTGGTCCTTGCTAGACAACTTCGAATAGACAAGATTTGGACTTCACCATGTTGATTATGCCACACTGAAGAGGACTCCTAAGTTATCAGAAACTTGGTATAAAGAGGTCATTGAAAAGAATAGCATAATCAAATCCCAGACACCAGAGAATATTCAAGAGCATCTCCAGTATTAATCTCCCTCCGTGTTTGTGCTCAGAAGAACAATAAAGAGAACCAGATACAAAATATCAAGGAAAAAGAGCTATTCAAGTTCAGGTTTAGTATTATATTCAAAGCATTCTAGAATTATGTATCCACCCTGAATCAAATGCAAGTTTCACTCGGTATTTGAAAGCAGCATGCCTAAATCTTTCGTACAGGAAAGTCCTTTTTCAGTTGAATGAGCTAGACACGTCAAGTACGGTTACTGGATATTATATCAAAGCCAAAGTCTAATAGACATCGTTGCAACAAGGTGTGAGAATTTAGTGTTCTACAGTACTCTCAGTTGTGCATGGCTCGGTCATAAAAAGCTGTGAGAAAATTGAAGGTTAACAATGATGAAAACAAAGAAGCATGATCAAACGGAAACTCTATCACGTCACACATAATAGCAATGAATTTAAAAGGCAATAATCTATGATATCATATTATGAGCAGCAACATCATGCATATCGTCACAGATCATAATGGTCATAGATAAAGTGAAAAACTAATATCAAGATAGACGACACTGCCCAAAGAGAGAGGAGGTCAGTAGCAAGGGCATGCTTTCATTGCCGTTTTGTTTATCAAAATTTGAGTTTTCCTTTTGTCCCCAAAGAAAAAAGGAAAAGAATTTTTATTTTATTTTTTGTGCTATTTAATGTAACCACCATTGTGTTTTATATTCTCTTCACAACATTGAATTTGCTCCAATGTAAAATCTGTGTTCAGTTCAAATCCTGCCTTTGACAAGTTATGCCTGCACACATGAGATGCATCCCAATTGACATTAGCAATGAAAAAAAAAAAAAAAAAAAAAAAAAAAAACTCTTGCCAATTGAAGTCAGGAGGACTCCAATAACACAATACAATGAAAAATAATGGCCTCTATGGTTGATCTTCATCTTTCAAACCTGAACTAAACTTTCTTACATCTCCACCAGGGAGAGCCATGAAATTTGACATGCTTGAAGAGCAATGGCAACACTAGGCTCCTTTCCGTACCAAGAAATCCACTCCATCTCAGTTGGGTATTGTTTTGCACATTTGCCAAAGGGATTAAGCCCCGGAGTAGAGATCTCTGCAATGGCAGCTGGCATGTACATTGAGTCACCCACTATTGGTGCACCACAGGCAGCCAATTGCGCTCGCACCTGCATCAGACATTTAATTATTGTTAACTTTCTCATCGAACACCAAATGTTTTGAAACCTTCCTGAGAGATCACTTTTTGGTATACTTGAGTAATTGTTTGACATTACTGGGTGTCAAGTAAAAAACTAATCCTTCAGAGGGGTCAAAATAAATTCCTTTATTATCTGTGTAAGAAGTTAGCCTCCTCTTATGGCCAAAGAAAGTTAATAAAAGTTATTTCCATTTTTACTCTGCTGTAGCATATTATGGCATAACAAAGCTCTGATAGCAATCCTCGTATTCTGGGAAATGTTGCCCATTACTTTATTAGTGGAAGCAAAATAACTGAAAGTCAAGCCATTAGAGCAATTCTAATACTTCAGTTTAAAGTTAATCCTTTTCAGTTGAGTAACACTAACACACTTTCTCGTGTTCTGAATTAGTTTTTCCAACCCTGAAACTAACTGAAAAATTCTGCTTCTGCTGTATTATACTTCCGAACAACTGAATTAAAAATATATATTATGAAGTATAAGGAACACGAAATGGAATCCACGCAGAAGTGAGGAAAAGATATATTAAGATTCTTAAAAGTTGTCACTATAACTGCTGGATAAATAAAAGAAGTAAGACTTATTTACTTGTACACTGACGAGAAAAGAAGTAGAAGAGAATGCCTGAAGATTTATGATTTCTCTCTGAAATTTGGTATTTTTTTGTTGTTTGCAGTGGTTGTTGTTTCTTGTAATGTGATTTGCGGTGACTGATAAGGATTGGCTGTGTGTGTTAATTGGTGATGAGAGTTGTTTGTTTCACTATTGCGGGTTGGATTTGATGGCTGGTATTTGGGTTGATTGATTGTTGTCGTTTTCTCCTTCTTGTATTGACAACACTGGATGGATGTCGATGAATTTTCCGATGGTTATCTGGATCATGGAATTGAGCTCTAATGCCAATTTGGTTAGAAAAGATATCTTGTCCAACCGGCCCAGTATTCCCATCAAGAAGTTGGTCCGTCTAACTTGGGTTTACCCTTTAAGGCCAACAACATTAATTTGTGTTGTGGTGTGGGGATTCGAACACGATGCTTGAGGATGGACATCACGAACTGATGCAGTGTTTGTACGGAGAATTGTATTTTCAATTCATTTAATTTTCAATCAAGGGTTATATACTTTTTATAGAGAGTATACAGTTTATTGATTACGTCAGTTACATATTATATAATATAATATCTGATATAATTAAGAGATTACAACAAATCTATAATATTTGAGAATAGTAAACCTAACATAATTAAAGGGTTACGAAATAATTGAAGATTGATAGAATATTTAGGAAATTTCAACAAGGCAGATGCGTCAAAGAAGGTTGATTTTCCTATAGTATTGCCTTAAGGCCAAAAAGCGCTATTTTTGACCGAGCAAATGACAGCTGAAAATTATGATCTCAGACGTTAGTGTGTGCAGCATGCAGATGACCTTCTGCCAAAATAATAATAGTAGTAGTAAACTTACGATTACTGTAGGAAATGTAATGAAGAAACTAGAAATGAGTATTAAGATTTCCGCTGCTGGTCCATCCTTCCTGTACTTGAATTGAATACTGCAAATTCCATAGAACATCTTCTATTGATGGGCGACCGGCGGCATCCTTGCATAGACAATTGGTGGTGATTTCAACTGTCGTTCTTAATGAGTCATATGCATAAGTGCCCCGGACTGAGGGGTCGGCTGCCCCCCGTAACTTTGATGGAGATTCTGCTAAGCATTTCTCTAGCTGTGAAAGGAGTAACGAAAAATTGTCTAATTAAACTGGAGCCAGTTTTATTATTACTGGATGAATATGATGTATAAGTACTACCTCAAGCTTCAACTCCCCCAATTCACGAGTGGATTTGATCGGCTTTCCAGTAATAACTTGAGCAAGGATAACACCAAACTGATAAACATCTTCCTTTTCGGCATCTTCCATGCTGTATAAAGAGATGATTATATAAGTAGATACGAATATGGATGTAAGAGAGAAAATGGAGGTTTTAAAAGATTATAATTGATACCTTCCCAGATGATTGGAGACGTCTTGGCCATTGAGAGGGCTCTCTGAACCTCTCTGTAGAAATTTAAAGAGCAACCATTAACATTTAACAATTAGAAAAATGGTTTAAATGTGAGTTTGAATTTGTTTCTCACCTTATTCGATGGCATTGGAATGTTATAACCACTTAGTTTTGCAGTAAGAGTCTCATCCAACAAGATGTTGTCAATCTTCACATTGTTCCCAAAAATGCCAGGTGCAACTCCAGTATGCAAAAACTGAATTCCCCTTGCAGCACCAATAATAATTGCCATTCTTTGTGGCCATTTCAGCATCTCCTTCTTCCTCAAGTCTGCCAAAATAAAAGTAAACTACAGTTTTTCCCCCCCAAAGGATTTAAAGCTACTTTTTCTTTACAATATGATCTCTGCCATTTGCTTACCAGTTAGGTAATCATGTAATGATCCATTTGATATGTGCTCAAGGACAATAAACACAGTGCTGGCTGTATTGGGATGATCCTGATAAGTAACAATGCAATGTCCAAGAACACTCACTAAATGCCGATGTCTTAACTTTGACAACACTTCCATATGTTGCACCAAGCTCTGCGGTAGATGCCTCTGCTTTAGTTTCAGGCATTTCACCAACACTATTGATCCATCTCTAAGACAACCTTTGTACAGCTGCAAATGTCAATTCTTGTTTATTTGTCATGCCTGAACATCAATCTTGTTTATTTTATCTAACAGTTCAAAGGAAATGATTTAATTTACCTGTTCCTGGGATCCTTCACCCATCAAATTTGTTGGGTCAAAATTGTTTGTTGCATCTTCTATTTCCTCTAAGCTGAAAACTCGATATGGTGGAAGCCCTATTGCTGCTGACCTCATTGTCTGAGGCACTTTCCCTGCAGAAATTCATTGCTTACTTCAATTCACTGAACTAAAAATTTAAAAAAAAAAAAAAAAAAAAAAAAAATTCAAGCAACTTATATATTGAATTCGTAATATATAGCCAGAAATTCAGAAACACAGCCTTACTTGAACCAATAGCTGGTTTTGGTGAGCTACGAACAGACATTTTATCTGCATTGGATCTCTCATATTTGCTATCTTGAGCTCCTGTTGTTTCTGATGATCTTCTGATAATGACCAAAACCAACAAGCCGAAAACCACTACAATTCCCACTATGCCTCCAAGGATACCCAGAATTAGTCCTAGTTTGATGCTGGATTCCTGCTTCTCTCTCTTAAGTGGAGGCTTCACTGCCACTGCTTCTTTATGGCAAAATGAATATGGATGCTGAAGTTTTGTGTTCCCAGCAGACAAACAATTCCATGAACTTATGACAGTTAAATTTCTGTTCGAAGACTTTGATGCAATACATGAAGGGAGCTTTCCTATCAAAAGGTTGCCAGAAATATCTACAAAGCTAAGCTTAGCACTACACGATATGTTCAGCGGAAGAGCTCCACTCAATTGGTTTTTAGGCAAAATGAGATGTTCAATTGAAGAAAGAGAGAAAAGGAAAGATGGGACTGGTCCAACAAACTTATTGGCAGAAATGTCCAAGTGTTTTAACTGATTAAAGTTCTTGAGTCCTAAAGGAATGTCAGATCTCAAAGAATTATTTCCCAGTATGATACTTTCGAGATTGATGGTGATTGAGGGAAATTTAGGACCAATGTGGTTACCACCCAGATTCAATTCTCGAAGAGATTGTAATTTCTTGAGATCTGGAACACTCCCATTCATCAAATTATCAGCCAAAACAAGACTTCTCAGACTTTTCAATGATGTGATCTCTTGAGGAATCTCTCCATAAATGAAATTTGAGCTGATGTTCAACACTTCAAGTGACCAAAATCTATTGATCTTGGAAGGTAACGGACCCCATAAACCTAAGGACACGAGTGAGAGTAGTTTCAAATTTGTAAGCTTTGTTAGAGAAGTAAAGAAGGCATCAATGTTGAAGTTAGAAGACAGGCTTTGTTGAGAAGGTGAAAATTTCCCGGAAGTTAGTTTTGAGAAATGGGAAGGAGAGCTTTTGTTTCCAACGATGGTTAACTCTGTTACTCGGTTATTGTAGCAGACAATCTTGAGAGAAGGAGAATAAGGAAGATAACAGAAGTTGGTCCAATTAGTCCATCCCTGAAGAACTTGAGGATACTCAAGAAGCTTCTGGACTTGGAAGAGACTTCTGGTTTCACCTGAACTCAGTGCTTGTTCTATTGACACTGGAACCAGCAGACCAAAAACGACTATACAAATTAAGATACATGGTGAAACAGCCTTGAATTTCTCCATTAAATAGAATAGAAAAATTCTCAAGAACTAATTAAAACTACAAACTTTGGCTTTTACTAATGTAACAATCATGAATTTGAACTAAACAAATTTTCTTGGGAAATTAAAGAAAGCTGAAGAATTTGAGAAAGTGGGAAAGTTTTAAAGGAGTGAAGCATTGATAGTAGAGAAGAGAATTCAGTTGTGTGGAGGGAGGGAAATAAAATTTAATAAAGGATGTGTAATTAATAAACTATGGAGTGTATTCTTGATTACATGTTACGCAAAACCATAATATTAAATTGCAGGGGAGTATTTTGATTCGTGATTTTCCTGAATCAACCAAACTTAAAAGGAGAAAGTCAACTGGGTTGGGAATTCAAAGGGTGCAATTTGTGAGAAGGACGCTTATTATGGTACACCCGCTAAAATCTCCAAGTCAAGCGCCTTGGTTCGCGAAGGCAAGGCTATGATGTACAGTTGTTGCCCTTGAGATGACCATGAAATCACGAGATATGAGCCAGGTATTATAGTTTAATTCATTAAAGTTTAGTTGGTTCTACCTAATTCTTGTTGTCTACACATACAGTAATTAACTAATGAATGAGTTGTGATGTTCATGTTCCCACCCTAAACTTTCTGCTCGGATCATCTCCTTGTATTCTGCTTGTGAGAGTCATCCTATCGAACACATAACAGTTTATATTAAGATAACATACTTGTAGCTGCCACAGCCTAATTTGTACATTTTTAGCTCTAATAAAAATGTCAGAAAACTTTAGTCTAATAGAGGCAAGAGGGTTTTGTTTAGTGGGCATTGCACATGATATGCCTTGAAAACAATGCACTCAGTAAATAAAGAAATAGAATTTAAATATGAAGTCGTCGTGTTAGGTGGATCCATGTATGTTTTCAAATGAGATTAGATGCCGAGCAGGCGATGGATCTACCAAAACGGCTTTTTAATTTTATTCTGACAATATGAAAGCTCTAATTTTGTTGATGTTAAGTTGGTTAGATTAGCTTACTATGATACCATCCCATTTATCATTTGTATTTGATACATTATATCAATATAAATTAATAGATCTAAAAGCTAATTATGTAATAGCATGATATAACTACATTAAAAGTCTATTTCATCACTCTTGAGAAATATTAATTAGGTCCATGGAATCGTGAATGGTCATCGTTTGATGTACTTTTTTGGGTTTGAGCAAATCTTCAAAGTCAAGGTCCAGCATTTATTGGATCTTGTAAACCGTCTATTCATTAGTAGCTTCTTTATTGCTACAATTATTTGAGCGATTGCTAAGTAACCTCACCCCTCACGCCTGCCAACATCTCTCACTTACACATAATGCACAATACTATCGCATCTCTTTTTCTCAAATCTATTCACATAAATAAGACCATTCATACAAGTCAATGGTTTGTTTGAACACCTCCATGTGGGAGCTCAATACTAGAACCTCAAGATAAAGTCAAAGAAAAAGACTATTGTCATCTAATCACATCAGTTCAAGTATCCCTCTAAGAATGATACTTAACTCCCCGGTTTAACGAGATACCCACACTTATATTGAGTTGTCGATAGATGATCTTCCTTTTGCCCTTGTGTCACTCTGCTCAGAAATCATTCGTGATCATAGGTAACATGTCAAAATAGTTGAACATTAATTCGTCACTTCATGACATAGTCAAAAGTCTCACTCACTTGGTCATATATTAACCTCTATGGACTCACACGGTGAGGAAGCAAGAATTCCTTCTCCCATCTCCATTCATGGTCGCTAAGCACATGTAGTATGAAATACATGCTACTATCGTAAAATAACGCTTTCCAATATAAAAGTTTATGTCATACTTTAACACACCACTATACAAGCATCTAACTTGAGTTCTACATTTTCTCACCTTTCAAGGTGCCAAATATTAAATCTCACATCAAGTATAATGGATAGTGGGTAAATCTAGGGATGGGAATTCCGGTTAGTCGAATCGGATAGGGTAATTTCTAAATTGAACCGGTTTTCAAATTCAAGCAGAATCTTGGATTATTGATTAATTGTTGTAATTAGTTAACAAAGTAGTTAATTATTTTTATAGTTAGTTAGAATGCTGTTATGGTTTAGTTAGAAATAACTAACTATGGTTAACTTAACCATAGTTACTGCAGATTGTATATAGCTGTTATTAACTCTTGTATAGTTAACTTCTTGAGCTGAATATGAAGAAATTTACTTTACTCTCTCTCTGAAATAGACTTGAACATGATATCAGAGTAGTGTTTTAAGCTGCGAAATTGACAATCTTTCAATTGAAGAATCAAGCTCAAATAAAAGTTGTATTTGTATCATCCTTCAAGATCAGTTGATCTTCATCATCAATTTCTTCCTTGTCGTCATCAATTTCTTCCTTGATTAAAATGGTTTTATGCCAAATCAGTTCTTGATTAAGTTGATTTCTTCTATCTTCATCATCAAATTTCGTCCTTGATTAAGCTGGTTTTTTGCTAAATCAGTTCTTGATTAGCTTGATTCTTAAAGTCAATCGATTCTAGATGTCGAATGTTACTGACTCAGGTTCTCCTCTCTACATTTATCTATCGGACACCCTAAGTTCAACTCTGATTTCAGAACAACTCACTAGAACAGAGAATTATGGGATATGGAGTCGTGCGATGACAATCTCTCTAAGGGCGAAGAACAAATTGGGCTTTGTTGACGGATCTTGTGAGAAGTCAAAATTCAGTGAGTCTCTGCATGCACAGTGGGAACGTTGTAACTCCTTAGTTTTGGCATGTATTTTTAACACTGTGTCAAAGGAGATATTCAACAGTATTGTGTACTCTACCAGTGCTTATCAGGTCTGGCAAGATCTTCAAGAACAATACAATAAAGTCAATGGTACGAGAGTGTTTGGTATTCACAGAGAGGTAGCTAATTTGGTACAAGGAACAAATAAAATTGCAGTTTATTACAACAAATTGAAAACTTTGTGGGATGAACTGAGTTCATTGGTGAGTCTGCTGCCACCAGATAGTGAGTCAACCGAGGCTTATTTGGCTCATCTCAACCAACAAAAGCTATTACAGTTCCTCATGGGACTTAATGAATCATATGCCTTGGTGCAAAGTCAGATTTTGTTGGTGATTCCTCTGCCATAAGTTAAACAGGCTTATTCAATAGTGAGTCAAGATGAGAGTCGGAAGGTATTGACTAGATTCAATCATAATATTGAAGTTACTACAACACTATACTCACAAGGGAATCAAAGGAATCAAATTAAAAATTCAATACATAAGGAAGAAACCTTACGTAGAATGTGACTATTGTCATATTGCTGGGCATAAAAAGGATACTTGTTACAAATTGCATGGCTATCTTGCAGATTTCCAGTTTAATAAAGGGAAGTCAGGATCGAAGGTCAAAGCTAATTATGTTCACTCAAGTCAGAAGCAAGTGTTGAACATTGATTCTGCACCCGACAATAAAAACGGAGGAGCTAATCTAGGCAATGTCCTGACTCCAGAACAGTATGCACAATTGCTTCAGCTACTAGGAAAGGAGAGCATGGGAGCACCATCTGCTAATCTGGCAGGTAAAATCGTTTCCTTATACTCAAATTACAATACTGTTGATGATTGGATTCTAGATTCTGGTGCTACTGACCCTATGACCCATAATTTCCAAAATTTTGAGTCTTCTGTTGCTAGTAAACTATCCATAGCTAGTAATGTAGGTCTCCTAAATAGAACAAAAACCTCAATTGAACATGTTGGTTCTGTCAAATTGTAAGAAAATTTGTCTCTTGAAAAGGTTTATACATACCAGATTTTAAGTACAATTTGATGTCAGTGTCTAAATTGGCTACTACCGGTCAATGTTCCATCACCTTTTATCCACATTTTTGTGTTATTAAAGATCTTTGGAGTGGCAAACTGAAGGGGATTGGTAAACAATGCCAGGGGCTATATCATTTCATACCAATTTCAAAATTAAAATTGTGTTTTCCTAATTTTGTTTCAGCTATAGGAAAAGGCTTTGACATACAAAAGTTTGATTGTAATAAATTGTTAGTTTGCAATTCTATCAATGTAGCTACTAATTCGTCAATAAAAGAACCTCTTCAAACTAAAGATATTGTTCTCTGGCATAGAAGGTTATGACATGCATCTTTGCCAATTCTACAAACCTTACATCATGGACTTAATGATTAGCACAAGTTTCATTGTGAAGTTTGCCTCTTAGCTAAACAAACTAGATTACCCTTTGCTTTAAGTGAAACATCAACATCACATGTTTTTGAACTGCTGCATTTAGATGTTTGGGGCCTTTATAGAGTTGCAACCCAGGGTAATGCAAGGTTTTTCCTTACGATTGTTGATGATTTTACTAGGACAACTTGGATCTTTCTTATGCAATTCAAGTCTGATGTCTTTCAAACCTTAAAAAACTTTCTGCATATGGTCCAAAATCAATACAGTCAAACACCTAAATATATTAGAACTGACAATGGATTGGAATTTTTCAACCAACAATGTCATGATTTATTGTCTAACTTAGGCATTGTATATCAAAGCACTCGTGTCTACACTCCACAACAAAATAGAGTGGTAGAACGCAAGCACATACACATTCTTAACATAGCTAGAGCCTTTAAGTTTCAATCTCATATTCCACATTACTTGTGGGGCTATTGTTGTGTTGTAACTACAAGATGAAATGTATAGCAAGTGCACTAGTCGCAAAAAGTAATAAAGTGATAAGAAAAGTATTGTTCCCATGAGGATTGGTTGTTAAACACTGATTTTCCTAATTGTTTTCAAGTTGGAGAAACCGAAAAGTGTTGGATTTACGGGAGAACCTTAAACTAAATTGAAAGCAAAATTTACTATGTAATTAAAAGGCTAATTAATGAAAGCAAGATTAAAGCAAGAGTAATATCAAGAAAAACGAACGGTTAGGGTTTTGACTTCATTAGGATTCTATGAATTAATCTACGAATTATGCTACTTC